TAATTGATAAAGGAGTATCTGTCTCTCATTTAGGAATATAGAGATGTTTTCTGCTTAGTGGATTGCAGTGACCTTGTTTGAGTTGAATGTTTTGAGACATGGTTGTATGTCTGTTAGCAGCATTGATAAAGAGTTTTTCCATAGGATGTTTTGTTCAAGCAGTGTTACTTTTGTATTGTACTATGTTCCTGCCCAATATAGCAAAACGTTTTGTTCAAGCAAGTAACTGTGCTGCAAAGCAATGTTACTGCTGAAGGTTTCAAGAATATTTTATTAACTCCTCCATCTGCCTCTATGAGCAAGTTTGGGTAGGTAGGCCCACCCCCCTACCCTAGAAAATCTCCATTAAGGCTGCTTGCATTGCAATTTGGGGCTCAGACTTCAGTGTAGGAACTCCTCATGAGTCCACAGGTGTAATGAAGAATCCCTCCATCTCTTCGAGTGCTGCTTGACTTCTTCACTGCCAGAGACCTTCAGATGGCTGTAACGCTTGGCTTTAAGCTGAGCTGTCCCATTTGCTGTGATAGTGTAGCTTACCTACAAGCATCAGATTAGTGGTTTTATTTATTTATTTGATTGGTACATTTTAGGCCTAAATTATGATCACATTCATCATTGGAAATTTGTAACTGTACATGGTATGTCTTGGTTAATTTTTTCCTGTTCCCCTTCCCTCCCCTCAACTTCTCTTCCCCTCCTCCACTCCTTATTTACAAAATCTTTGTTTCTGTTTTTTCCTCCTTTTCTCATTTTTTGCTTTCCCTTGTTTGCCCCCCCCCATGGCTATCAATGGGTGATTGGATAAAGAAGAGGTTTTTTTTGTTGTTTGTTTTGTTTTTGTTTTTTGTTTGTTTTTCTTTTTGGTACCTGGGATTGAACTCAGGCCTTTGTGCTTGCGAAGCAGGCGGCTGAACCACTGAGCTAAATCCCTGGCCCTGAGGGGTGTGTGTCTGTGTGTGTATTGTGTTTTAATGGAGTACTACTCAGCCATAAAGATAAACTAGAAACATTTGTAGCTAAACTGATGCACCTTGAGACCATACTCTTAACTGAAATAAATAGGACACATATGTAAATACTGATTGTTTCTCTGGTATGAGAAATTGAAAGTGTAAATGAGGACAAAAATGTGTAATAGATATTGTGAAATAGGAAGAAAATGTTCAAAGGGGAAGCAAATCAGTTTTGGAAGACACCGAAGCCTACCTATGAGCATCATGTCAGAAGCTGCTTTTTTACCCCCACTTAGACCAGAACAAGTATATCCTGCCATCATTCCAGTAGGTAATGCTGCTGGGATGTGGATAGTTAGTGCAAAAGCAGTATTCTTACCTTCCATACATCTTAGTTTTTTTTGTTTTGTTTTTTGGTACCGGGAATCGAAACTCCAGTCCTTGCACTTGCCAGGCAGGCACCGGAACTACTGAGCTAAATCCTGGGCCCTATACATCTTAGATTTTAAAAGACTTTTGTTTTATTCCACTGTTGATTGATTTGTCATTTTCTTTCTCCAGGAGTGTCAGATTTGTCTTCTTTTACTTATTTCATTGTATTGGCCATATGCTAACATAAAAACGGTGCTACAGAACACCTTGTCTTGGCCTAGTCTGATTTCACCATTAATGACACCTACTTTTGCATGTAGATATACTTTGTTAGATTTGAATTTCTGTTCTTAGTTTCTTTTAAATGTACACACATAAATGTATAAATGACAAATATACTGTCTCACAATTCTGCAGGCTGAAAGTATAAAATTAAGGTATTATCAGGGCCATGTTCCTTCTGAAGATACTAAAGAATAATTTGTTTTAGGTTTCCCTTACAGCTTCTAGTATTTCTTGGCTTGTGGAAGCATTACTCCAACCTCCACATGGCATTCCTCTTGTGTGCATGTCAATGTCCACATTTTTCCCTTATCTATCTAGTCATTTACTTGTTTATTTTTTGAGACAGTGTCTTGCTATATATAGTTAAGGCTAGCCTTGAATTCATTATGTAGCCCAGGTTGTCTTTCAACTCATGGTGATCCTTTTGCCTCAGCCTCACCATTGCTGGGATTGTATACATGCTCTACCCCGATCAGCTAAGTTTTCCCCTTTTTAAAAGAATACCAGCTGGGTGCAATTGCAAATGCTTGTAATCCCAGCATTTGGGAAGCTGAGGCAGGAGGATTGTGAGTTCAAACCAGTGTGCGCTTCATTTGTGGTGTTGAGGCCAACCTGGGTGAGACCCAGTGAGACCTTATCTTAAAAAAAAAAAAAAAAAAAAAAAAAAAAAAAAAAAAACAAACTAGGGTGGGGGATTTAGCTCAGTGGCTCCATACCTACCTTGCAAGCAGAAAGAAGGTCCTAAGTTCGGTCTCCTGTACCAAAAAAACTCCAAACCAACCCAACTCCCCTGCCAAAACATGTTAGAATAGGGGCCACCCTAATACCTTTATTTTAACTTAATTGCATCTATTAGGATGGGGTCACATTCTGAAGTTCTGGAATTTAGAACTTATTTTGGGGGGTGAGTAGTTGCACAATTCAACCAGTAATCTTGTACCAACCATTCATTTAATAAGGCAGACAGACAGTTACCTTGGTGGACATGAAATAAATCTCAAATGCTTCATGACTTGCTCATGATCAATATTGCTACATTTCTGGATATGCAAGCAAACCTGCGTTTTAAAAAATTCATTTCAGTTGATTATAATGTGTTAACTTTTAAATCAACACGTTGCTAACTAACTCGGATGAAAGATAACCACAATGCACTTATTCAATAGGATAATGAAATTTTGAGGCATCAAAATATGAGAAGCAACTCAAGAAGCTCTTAGAAATTTATAGCTTTTTGTTCGTGTGTTACAAAAGAGGAAAGGTTCAAAACTAATGATTAAACTTGAACCTCAAGAAAAAAAAATGGTAAATTAAACCCATTCAAGAAAGTCAGAAAAAAGAATAGTATTAGCAGAGGAACCAGTGAAACTGAAAAGCAGGTGTAAAGCAAATATCAGTGAGGATAAAAGTATGTATACATTTTTAAGGCAGGTTCTTACTCTATAATTCAAGCTGGCCTTCAACTCACTGTGCAACCTAGGCTGGCCTCAAACTCCTGGCAATCCTCCTTCATCAACCTCCTAAGTGCTGGGATTACAGGCATGTGCCACCATTCCTGGTGAAAGTTCATTCTTTGAAAAATATAACCATCGAGGTATCTAGCAAAATTTACCAAGAGAACACATTATATGTGTATATATGTATATATGTCTATATTTTTTAATCTTTTTGAGACACAGTCTTGCTGTGCAGTTCAGGCTGGCTTTGAACTCACTGTGTAGCCCAGGCTGGCCTTGAACTCATGGCAGTCCTCCTGCCTCGGCCTCCTGAGTGCTAGAATTACAGGCATGTACTTAGCAACCATCTCTATTTCATCCCAAACCCTCCAACATTAAGTAATCACTAAATTACTTTCTGTTTCTATAGATTAGCCTATTCGGGACATTATCATACAAATGATATCATTCAGTGTGTAGTCTTATGACTGGCTTCTTTCCTCCCAAAGTTCATTTATGTTGTTCATATATCAGTACTCTATTCCTTTTTATGGCTGAATAATATTCTAGTGTATGGATAATACCACATTTTATTAGTCTGTTCATTGGTTGCTGGATGTTTGGATTGTTTTCAGTTTTGGCTATTATGAGTAATGTTACTATGAGCATTTGTGGACATGTTTTGCTTTGCTTTGTTTGGGTAGATTTTCATTAAGTGGAATTGCTAGAGCTGGGAATTCAGCTCAGTGGTTCCACTGCTGCTTGCTTCTCAAGGGCAAGGTCCCAACTTCAATCCCTGCTACAAAAAAAAAAAAAAAAAAAAAAAAGAAAAAGAAAAAGAAGTGGAATTGCTGAATTGTATGGCAACTCTATATTTACTATATTGAGGAATTGCCCATTTTCCAAAGCAGTTTGCACCATTTTACAGAACACAGCATGGTATGAAGGTCTTTGCTAGAACTAGCTATTTGCTTTGATTATATCTGTAATGTTACATGTAAAGTGTTTTCTCACTGTGGTTTTAGTTTTCACTTTCCTAACGTTGTGATAATGAGCCTTTTCTGTAGAAATGTCTACTCAAGTCCTTTACTCAGTTTTAAATTGGATTACAATACTTGTTTTTTTAAAAAATTGAGTTGTAAGCTTATTTTCTATGTGTATGTGTATATAAACAGTTTTCATATATATTTTATATATTCTAAATACAGGTTTCTTATCAGATATGTAATATGCAAACATTTTCTCCCACTGTGTGAGTTGTCTTCATTTTCTTTTTAAAAAAATAAATGTGTGTGTGTATGTCTATGGGATAGTGTTTCTGGAGCTTGAAACTAGGGCCTTGCACATGGTAGGCAAGCACTCTAGTGCTGAGATACCTTCTCAACCCTTTATTTATTTTGAGAGAGCATCTCTCTAAGTTGCCCAGGTTGACCTTCAACTTGCCATCTTTGCTGCTGATTTAAAGATTTTTAATTGACAAGTAATGTTTTCATTCTCGTGATTGTAATCTCTTGTTAAAGTTGTGTTTATATACTGGGTCTGTTTATAAATATAATCTTTATTTGCATGTTCCTTGATTCTTCCTTTACACCTCTTTTTTTTTAGGTCCGTAAGTTTTTTTCTAGGTCCTTACTTACTGTAAGTTTTTTATTCTTACACTTTTATTTTTCTTATTTTCATTTACTCCTTTATGCTCCTTTTTTCCTCAGGACTCTGAATCTTCTGAGAATGAAAACTGGTCATTTTTGCCTGAATTCTCACAGTAATTGATTTTCTAATATGGACTATTTCCATAAACATGTTCATAATTATATGAATAATTGAATACTCAAAGATTAAGTTCCTTTATGTCATTATTTCAAAATGACACAGCATGTATTGTTTGCTTCTCTTGTAAGAGCAAGTCTGTAATTAGGTGACTCCTATTTTATTTATCTTTTTCTCTTTAAAAAAGATTCAATATGGATAGTATAGAAGAACCTCAGAAAAAAGTGTTTAAGGCTCGAAAAACAATGAGAGTGAGTGATCGGCAACAGCTTGAAGCAGTTTATAAAGTCAAAGAAGAATTATTGAAAACTGATGTCAAGATTTTAAATGGCAGCCATGAAAATGGAGATTTGGACCCAACCTCACCTTTGGAAAATATAGATTATATTAAAGATAAGGAAGAAGTAAATGGCATTGATGATACTTGTTTTGGTTCTGAAGAAAGTAAAACAGAATGGCAAGAAAAACCCAGTATCCTAAATGTTAATGTAAAAAACAATCAAGATGATGATTTAAAAGAACCTTTGTCTCCTAGTAAAATAACTCCTGAACCATCCTTTAAACCAACCACTGAGCCAGCTTCTGGTGATCTAGCCTCTAGTGAGCTGGCTGCTGGAGATCCAGACTCTGGTGATTCCACTTCTAGTGATCTCGCCACCAGTGATGCATCCTCTGATGATCCTGCCTCTGAAGAACGTACCCCTAGTGATCCTGCTACTGGTGGTTCTGTCCCTGTTGAACTGGTTTCTAGTGAACCTGTTTCTAAGGAACAAGTTCCTAGTGAAAGTGCTTCTGGTGAACCAGCTTCTGGTGATTGTGCCTCTGATAATCTATCTTGTGGTGATCCAGCTTCTGGTGATCAATCCTCTGATGATCCTGCTTGTAGTGAATTGACCTCTGATGATCTGGCCTCTGGTGACCTGGTCTCTGATGATCTGGCCTCTGGTGATCTGGCCTCTGGTGATCTGGGCTCTGATGAACTGACTTCTGAGTCAGCCTTTGATCCCACTTTTGAACCAAATTCTGTACCAGTTTGTGAACCAGTCCTTGAAACTGACTGTACAGAACAAAGTAGCAATAAGAATAATGATTTCCTTGAAAAAAATGAGGATGATGAACATTCAGGCAAAATTGAGAATAAGGACTCATTTGATGAGAAGAAAAAAGCTGATGATAATATTGGCAGTAATGAAGAAACTCTAGAAACAGATGATACAATTTGTTCAGATCTACCTCCTGAAAATGAAAAGAAGGGAGAAGATCCTATCACAGAGCTTGCTCTTGGTGAAGAGGCTATATCTAGCAGTATGGAGATAGACCAAGGTGAAAAGAATGATGATGAAAATTCTTCAGACCTTGTGGAAACCATTAGTGAAAATGTTATACAAAGTGACAAAAATGAGACTGCTTTAGAAAATACAGATTCTATGGAGACAGATGAAATTATTCCTATTTTGGAAAAACTTGCACCTGCTGAGGACGAACTTACTTGCTTTTCTAAAGCTTCTCTCCTTCCAATTGATGAGAGCAGTCCAGATTTGGAAGAGAAAATGGAAGTTTCTTTTGGTTCACCATCTAAACAAGAAAGTAGTGAAAGTTTACCTAAAGAAGCCTTTTTGGTCCTTTCTGATGAAGAGGATATTTCATGTGAAAAAGATGAGTCTGAAGTTACAGCACAAAATGAGACATGCTCTCCAGGTTAGTAGGTCATTTAAATTTTAAATAATTTTTATCAGCTTTAATGAACTGTTTGATAAATATATTCTGATAAAATTTTAGATTTTTGGGGGTGCTTTTATTTTTAAAGTTGCAGAAGGAGTTGAGAAGGTTGTGACTGTATAGAGGATGTCTTAACTTCGTTGATTCTTAACTTAGTAGTTAGAATTCAGAGTTACAAAATATTCTCTCCCTGAGCAACATTTTGCTAAGTGCTAAGGGAGATAAGTAGAAAATATAGCCCTTGTACATTTAAGGGCCTTTAGTCTAGATAAGATGATCTTGTATAACACTATGATAACAATTTAAATTGATACATAATTGTTTGAATTTCCAGCAATAATTCTTTCTTGTCATCATGAAACAAAATTATTTTCCCAATAATCTTCACAATCAAATCTCATTTTAAAAAGTTTTTGGGGGGTCTGGGGATTGATACTACCATTGTTGGAAGCCAGAAACCTTGAATCCTGATTATCTTTTCTATAAAAACTTCACCTATTTGTTTCTTCAGTCTTCTTGATTCTGTCCAATCTACACTCTTGGATGACCTCCTCTTTTTCATGAAGTTCCTGTTACTTTTAGGTTAATTCTAAACTTCTTATATAAATATAAACAACATGATATGATCAGCATATTCCTTTCCTATCTCTTACATTGTACTCTAGAGAAAAAAAAGAATGATATTCTAACTACTTTCTGGGTAAGAGGAGGAGAGAATTACTCCTATGAACAGAGCATGTCAACCACAAAACCTAGGTTGTTGAAAGTGAAAATAGAGGCAGGTCTAGTAGAAAAAGGGCAAAAAATTTCCCCAATACATCATATTAGCTTTTAGAGGTAAAGCTTTTTTTCTTACTAAAAGATAGCTTTTCATTTCTAAAGAACATTGGGAGATAGACCCAGCTCTTTTTGTTCTAGGGATTTGATGCAGACAAGAATTAAATCAGACTTTTTTATGAGACAGTGTCTCACTATGCAGATGAACTGGACTTGAACTCACTATGTAGCCCAGGGTGGCCTTGAACTCATGGAGATCCTCCTCCCTCAGCCTCCTGTATGGTGGGATTACAAGGATGTGTCATGACACCCAGCTAAATTACAGACTGTTAAATAAAAAGCCATGAGAGTATATACAGTAGGAGTGGTATTTGTGTTCTAGAAATATAGACAAGGATAACTTTATGAGAGTACAAGGTATATTCAGGGAAGCCTTTCCTTTCAATATTTATATATCATAGGGTTTTAATGAATTTTCTTCCTTGTATTGGCAGTTCCATCTCACCTAGTCAGGTCAGAAACCTTGGAACCATTTTTTCTATTAACATCTCATAGGAAATCTCATTGGCACTGCCTTCAGAATAGATAGAGAATCTAATTTGTAATTGTTGTTACCTGCTCTGAGCCACCATTATCAGGCTAAAGTGGTGACTGATGCACAGGCGGTGCTCAGTAAATATTAATAGAGTAAATGCATAATTGTCACTGTAGGAGAAGCATATCATATCATGATGGACTGTTGTTAACAGTACTGAAGTATTATGAGGTAAGGGCCTTTTGACGTATTTTAAGTGACAAGAAAGAAAATTTGTATTTTGGGAAGATAACAGGGAACAGTATTCAAGATGAACTTTACTCATTTATCCAGTAGGTATTTATACAGAATGTAGCAGTGGGGCAGGTCCTTTAAAAAAGCATTATAAAGGCCAGAGATTTGGATCAGTGGTTCCGCTGTCTGCCTCACAAGCGCAAGGTCCTGAGTTCAATCTCCGCCAAAAAAAAAAAAGCATTATAAAAGTCTGTAAGACGAAAAAGATTGCATCATAGCAATTTGCAGCTTGTGATTTAATGACTATATACATTTTATCTTTGTCAGAATTTTGATATTGGCTATTCATATATATATATATTGCTGTATATCTTGTGGCTGCTTATTTAATATTATTTGTAAAAGATGACAAAACATTTTATGCTTTATTGAAGCCACCACGGAGCCAGCTATGTTGGGGGGCAAATAGAAGTCTAAACCTTTAAGTGAATAGTTGTAGTCCTGTTACCCATCATGTAATGATTTAGTTAAGGAGCTGGATTAATTGACCAAAAGGCATTTCTGGTACCTCTGTGATTTTAGTTTTTGTAATATAATATAAACCTGTAATTTTTTTTAGCAATATTTTTGGAGGCACTCTTTTTTTTCATGTTTTATATGCCACTTACAAAAATTGCTTAACCTTCCTGAACATTATTTTCTTCATCTATATGATAGCAAAAATACAGTGTAGGATTACTGTCATACTGAAACCGGGTGGTAATATATGTCAAACACCAAACTCAGTTCTTGACACTATTATCAAAATAAGTGTTATTTTTAAGTAAAGTGGTTATTATATTTAGGATAGGCTCTCCATTCCTCATGAGTTATCCTATAGCTATTAAAATAACTTCATTCCACCTTCTAGACAAAAATACTAGTTTTGAATTTACCAGTAGTTTGTAATATTTTGGTGATTGTCACAACTACTTTAGTTTCAGTAAATGAATATAAAGAAACCTGGGCTTTATAATATTGTTTTCACATTTTATTAATCTTATCTATGTTAGAAAATTACTATGAAGATTGCTTTTAAAATCTGTGATACTATTTTTCCATATTGAGTTTACTATAAATTGCAGAACAGTTGAATGTAAGCTTGGTTATTTAATTCTATCAGTTGATGTTCTTACATTTTTGAGACTTTGGTTTTATTAAAGGTTGTTTTGGTATCTGAGTAATTATCAAAACTGTAGATTAATGAGCTGTTGTGAATTCCAGTAGAAATAAAAGTTACTAATTTTGTTCTAGCAGAAGTAGAGAAGAATGAAAAGGACAGCAAACCTGAGGAAGAAGAGCAAGTGGTAGATGAAGAAGATGAAAGACCTTCTGAGAAAAGTATGCATGCACAAGCAAACTATTGTTTCTAGTTTTAAAATCAGTGGGTATGCATTGCTACCCATGAGGTGATTGTAAAAATTTTCATTGTAAGCCACAATTAACTCATTTCTAAAGATAACTGAATATATTGTTGTATATTATTTCCGAGATTTAAAATTTTTATTTATATTTTTTGTTGTCTCACAGAAATTGATTTAGGCTTAAAATTTAAGATAGCTGTCTTGAGAGGAATTGTTTTAGGTTATTTTAATGAATGGGACTTAGAATTTTGTCTGGGCTGATATAAATGAATGATAATTCATTTCACAAGAAGAGAAGGATAGGACTGACTATAGTTAGGTTTGATAGTAAGATCACCAGACTAAATGTCAGGAAACCTGAGTTCTGTAATTCTCCCTGTCATCTTGCTCTCTAAGTATGACCATAGTTAAATTATTATTAGAGGAGTTACAGGTTAGAACTGGAATTTTAAAATTAGGCACAAAGATATGAATATAGTCATATAAGGTAATTTGCCTTTCAAAAGTATGGAGATTTTATTGCTTAAAGTTTTTATATATTGAATAAAACCAGAAAAAATTTGCTTATGATCTTTTAAATGTTAATATTATTTGAAATAGTTTCATAAGTGAAGATCTTTGAATGTTCACTTTTAACCAGTAATAATTGGTTGAAAATTCTGTTATGATAGATTAAAACAAGATTTTGCTCAATATGGGGAATAGGCATGAAGGCCTTTAATAAAGACACCTGGCTGATCATTGTGGTTTTTTTTTTCAGATGAATTTTCTGGAAGAAAACGTTCTAAATCAGAAGACATGGACAATGTACAGTCCAAACGTCGTCGTCGATATCTTGAAGAGGAATATGAGGCAGAATTTCAAGTAAAGATTACAGCCAAAGGAGACATTAATCAGAAGCTTCAAAAGGTGTTGGAAATAAGTTAAAAGCTCTATTGTATAAAAAAGTAGCACTTTATTCTTCCAGGCGTTTGACATTAGAGTCTCCTATGTTTTACTGAAATATCCAGTTTATCACTGAAAGAGAACTTGAAGAAAGTAGCTGAGCTTAACAAATCTATAATTATCATTGATAATTTAACTTTAAGATTCCTTCTGATCTGTTTTTGACCACATGATTTATTTTGGAGATAGTAATTGAAACATAATGATAAATATTTATTTTGTTTTTATAACAAAATGAACCATTTTTCAGCTTTTTCTTTTTTTTTCTTCTTATACTGAACTTGGTTTTATAGTGAAAAACATCAAGGTTTTATATGTTAATATTTTAATCTTCATAGCCTCATTTCATGGTGTAAGTCTGCTGATTCTAAAATCATTGTTATGTGCTTTAGAGTTAGTATTAAAAATGGTAGGACTAGCAACGGAATATATTTTGGAAACCTTTTCCTATGTCTGTTAGGATAGAGAATAAATATTCAGTATTTTATATATTTTCAGGATAGCACACAAATCTTTGTAGCAAGTGCCTTTTGGAGAGAGGCATGGAGAAACTTGTTTTTTCAAGGTCATGTATGTATATTAGTGAAATTGTATTATGAAAGTTCTTGTTTTTTGTTTGTTTGTTTGTTTTCAATGATACTAGGGACTGAACCCAGAGCCTTTGCACTGGGCTATATCCCTGGACCTTTGACCTTTAAATTTTTTTTTTTATTTTGAGACAGGATTTGACTAAATTGCTAAGTTTCCAAGGCTGGATTGGAACTTGGGATCCTCTTGCCTCAACCTCTGAGTGCTGGCATTACAGGCATGTACTGTCATGCCCAGATTATTATCAAGGTTCTTCTACTAACATACAGTACAAATACCTACACTTTCTAGAAATAAGAAGAGTGAAGCAATAAAAAAGTGCCCCTGACCCCACACATTTCCTTTTCTTTAGTATATAGAAATAATACAGCTTCTTTAGTTTTAGATTTGTATAGATATATGAAGAATTTTGAAAACTTTTCTGTGCATTGTGAGTTTTTTTCTTTAGATCTTTGCTAATTCAGGTAATGGTTCTTGGATATATGGTGGTGTCCTGCTTGTTGTGAGTCCATAAGGAGATTTTGTACACTTGGAAATGTTTTACAGAGTGACAATTAGTAACATTCTTAGTGCATCTCACAAAATATTGGTCTATAATAGTTTAAAAATTTAAAAAACTGGTTCTTTAATCAATTTCCTTTATGTGGTTTGAATGAGATAAGACAGCAAGGAAATAAAACACTAAAACTTGAAATTCTTTTTAAATTTTCACTCTCTGGAAATTTTGTTTTTTGTATATACTACCCTCTTGAGGAAGGTAGGTTTTATATTTATACACACACACACACACACACACACACACACACACATATACATACATATATTTTAATTTACATAC